GTTTATTCAAAAAAAGAAAAATTTTAGTTGTATTAAAATAACTGTTAATAAATTAAAAAAACAACGTTCTTGTTCAAAGTTTTACTAAAAAAAAATACGATTCAATGTTTTTTCATTCAAGTACAAGATCCTAAATTAAAATTTTATTTTTAACTATAATTGATCATAAAATAATCACACTTTTTTTTTCTAAAATTTTGCATTATTCAATTTTATAAAAAAATTTGGTTCCTCAATTGGCCTTGAAAAATCGTAACCTTCCTACGTTTATTCAAAAAAAGAAAAATTTTAGTTGTATTAAAATAACTGTTAATAAATTAAAAAAACAACGTTCTAGTTCAAAGTTTTACTAAAAAAAAATACGATTCAATGTTTTTTATTCAAGTACAAGATCCTAAATTAAAATTTTATTTTTAACTATAATTGATCATAAAATAATCACACTTTTTTTCTAAAATTTTGCATTTTTCAATTTTATAAAAAAAATTTGGTTCCTCAATTGGCCTTGAAAAATCGTAACCTTGACTCTTCACCTTGCCTGAAAATAACTCTATTTGTGTTTTTATCACCAAGGGTCACAACCCCAGACCCCACATATCACAAAACCTCCAGTTTGTGACAACAATGAGTCGAGGTAAAGTCGTTCTCGCCTACTCTGGTGGTTTAGACACTAGTTGTATTCTAAGATGGCTATTGGACCAGAACTACGAAGTCATTTGTTACATGGCCAACATGGGCCAAGACGAAGATTTCGAGGCGGCGAGGCAAAAAGCCGAGCAAATTGGAGCATCAAAGGTATATATCCTTAGTGAAAAATTCATCTAACTCAAAATTTGAGGTTGTGATTGAGGATTTGAGGGAAATTTTCGTCAAAGAGTACGTCTGGCCGGCCATTCAAGCCGGGCTATTGTACGAATCTAGATACCTTCTTGGTACTTCTTTAGCGCGACCCTGTATATCAGTGGGTTTGATCAATGCAGCGAAAAAATACAACGCCCTGTATATCTCACATGGGGCTACTGGGAAGGGCAATGATCAAGTCAGGTTCGAATTATCCTGTTATTCGCTATGGCCGGATGTGAAAGTGAGGTTAAGTTGTTTCAAAATGGCGACAAGTTTAAATTTCGGCGCCATTTTTAGATAATCGCGCCTTGGAGGATCAAAGAATTCACGACGAGGTTCCAAGGCCGACTAGATTTAATCAAGTATGCGTCCTTGAACAATATCCCGGTCCCGGTGACTCCCAAGGCTCCATGGAGCATGGATGCCAACCTAATGCATATTAGTTACGAATCAGGGATTTTGGAAAACCCTAACAATGAGCCACCTCATGACCTTTTCCATATGACTCAAGACTTGACAAAGGCCCCAAACGAGGCCTTTAAACTGTCAATTGAATTCTGTCAAGGTCTCCCCATCAAGGTCATCACTCAAGATGCCCAAGTCTTTGACAAACCTTTAGAAATGTTCACTTATTTGAATCAAATCGGGGGAAAACACGGTATTGGCCGGATTGACATTGTCGAGAATCGTTTCATTGGTCTAAAGGTAAATATCGTGGAGGGGGTGATTCGTGATTGGTTGATTTCAGTCACGTGGGGTGTATGAAACGCCCGCTGGACATATTTTACACGTGGCACACACCGATTTGGAGGTTTTTTGTCTCGATAAGGAAGTATACAGAGTGAAGCAAAATTTAAGAGAGAAATTGTCGGATTTTGTATATAATGGGTTTTGGTTCTCACCAGAGGGTTCCTATGTAAGGAAATGTATCGCATTGGCTGAGGAAACTGTCACGGGAAAAGTCAATATGGAGATTTATAAGGGAAATGGTGGGTTGGTTTTGAGGAAAATTTAAAATTTAGGGTTTTTTTAGTTGTGGTTTTGGGACGTTGGTCACCAGTTTCGCTCTATAATGAGGAACTGGTTTCGATGGATAAACATTCGGAATTTTCACCAAGTGACGCCACTGGGTTTATTAATATTCAAGCGATTAGGTTGAAGGAGTATCACAGGTTTCAGAAACAACAAAAGGTTGATTTTTCGTGACCAACGAGGGAAACAAATTTTTCTGTTTTCAACAAAATTATATAAAAATTGATATTTTAGTAAATTTTATGGAATTACTTACATATAAAAAGTGGCAAAAAAAATCTGAAAATACATATTTTTTACATGATATTTAATTTTTTTTTCCCTTCAAAATACTCTACGAAAACTGATATTTCAGAACAGTTTTTTTTTTTTGAAAAAAAAAGTAAATAGTAAAAAAGTGTCCCAAGTCAAGTTAAGTTTGCTAAAAACAGTTCCTCAGTAGGTGATGATTACTGTAATTTTCATAAATCAAGTGATTCAACGTGAAAAAATTTGGTTCCTGATTAAGCATAGTTTAAGAGACTTCTAAAATAGAAATTTATTGCTTGAAAACCCAAAACTGGGTTTCTTAGTTGTCTCAAAAATTAGTTTTCTATGTGTCAAATCTGACACTTCCCCAAAAAAAATAATATTTTCATAAAAAGAAAATATAAAAAAACCGTTCAGAAAAAAATTGGTAATAAAATTAATAAAAAATAAAAAACATAATAATAAATAAAAAGGAAACAGTTTTTTTTTCAAAAGAAATAAATAGTAAAAAAGTGTCAAAAACGAACATTTTTTAGCAAAATAAAAAAACTGTTCCTGTATCTTTGATAAATCAGGTGATTCAATTTGAAAAAAATTGGTTCCTGATTAAGCAAAGTTAAATTAAATTAAAATAAAAAAGAAAAAGAACAGAAATGAGTAAAAAAGTTAAAATAAAAACAAAAAAATATTACCAAAAGAAGAAAAAAATAAAAAAGGAAATATTAGAAGCAGAAGAAGAAAGATTAGAGAAGAAACGAAGAAATGTAAAAATATGAAATTAGCTGAGACAAACAAGAAAAAAATTAGATGACAAAAAAGGAGAGAAATTAGTGAAAACACAACAAAAATAATCAAACAAAAAAATAGAAGAAGAAATGTCATTATAAAAATGAAAAAGTAAGAGAGAAGAGAATATAAAATCTTAACGTAAAAAGTAAACTTCAAGAAAAGAATACTAAAATAAAAAATAGAAAAGAAATGTCAGAATTAAAAAAGAAAAGGAAAAAGAGAATAAAAGCAGAAGAAAGGGTTAAAAAAAGATAAAGAAACAGAAAAAAATAAAACAATAAAAAAATAAATACAATTAAGGAAAAAATCGAATAGAAAAAGTAGTATTAAAAAAAGAAATCAACACAGAAAGTAAATAAATTTTGAGTAAAATTTAGAAGAAAATACATTTCATAAAAAATAACTAACTAACTAAATGAGCAAAAAAACAGAATAAAAGAATTATTAATGAATGAAAAGATTTAGCTATAAAGTGAAAAAGCAAGAACAGAAATAAGGAAAGAAAAAAAATAGAGGCAGAAGAAGAGAAATTAGTGTAAACACAAAAACAAAAATATTTTGTTCTTATACCTACCTACATACTTTTTTTGTAATTGGTGTAAACAAAAATAAACTATTATTATTATTATTATTATTAAAATACTAAAGTAGAAAGAAAATACACTTTAAGAAAAAAAAAAAACAAAATAAAAAATGCCAGAATAAAAAAAATAATAATAAATAACAAAGAAGAAAGGAAAAAATAGATAAAAAGAAAATAAAGGGACAGAATAATAATAGCAGAAAAGACTCAAAATTAAATTAATGTAACATTCATATATCAAAAAATTTGGTTCCTGATTCAGCAAAGTTTAAAAAACTTCTGTAAAATAAAGATTTATTGGTTGAAAAACCAAAACTGGGTTCCTCAGTTGGCTCAGTAAATAGTTTTTTATGTCAAATTTTATTTAAAAAAAAATTAAAAAAAAAAACAGGTTCACAGTAAAAAAAATCAAAAAAATTAGAAAGATCAACTCTTATTGTTGACACAAGAAAAAATTTGGTTCCTCAGTTGGTGATGACAAGTGTGCTTTTAATAAAATAAAATTTTTGAGTGTTGTAAAATGTTTTGATTTATTTTCTGGTTTCTCCATTACCAATGGTACGTTTCCAGTCCCATTACCTCGATAAAGATCGCCCGAAAACCCCATTACGTGAAGAATATCCGATATAATAACATACAAATTACATAAATTCAACATTTGACTTTCACCATTGTGTAAACCACATAAATTACAACAATATCATCGCCCATCTCACAACAATAAAATTTAATATTTATATAATCTAAAGTCGTGTTTTAATTATCATTCAAATGAATTTTAAAAGCCTGAAATTGTAATAATTGCCTCATCGCTGACGTCCAACAATGACGTTGATCTAGAAATAGCGATGAGGAAATTGTTAAAAACATTAATTCGAAACGTAATTGAGAAATGAGAAATTTATGAGCCAAGAGATTAAAAGTATGTACACTTTGTACTTTGATAGCTTTGTGATATTTATGGTTTCAGAGATGTGTAAACGATGCAATCAGGAATTTTGTTTAATGAAGTGAGTCATTGGAAATATGTAAAGGTTGGCAACTTTGAATCGACCTTGTCGTTTATGTCACAAATTAGTAATTAGGATGCGATGTGTGTGAGGCGATTGAAGGTTTCTTGACGTATTTTTTTCAGTTCAATAAAAAAATTGTTTATTTTTCGTCTTTTTTTTTAAATTCCAACATTAATTTCCTTTTTTTATTAATTTTTTTTGATATTGTTTCTTCGAATTAATCATCACCTACTGAGGAACAGTTTTTTTTTACTTTGCTAAAAAATATTTGTTTTTAGCAAGCTTTACTTGACTTCGGACACTTTTTTGCTATTTACTTTTTTCAAAAAAAAAAAACTGTTTCCTCTTTATTTATTATTACGTTCTTTCATATTTTTTTATTTTTCATTAATTTTGTTACCAAAGCCGATTTTTGTATTTTTTATTTTGCCAACTCTGAACCCATTTTTTTAATATTTTTTTTTTCAGGGAAAAAAACATAAAAAAGTAAACAAAATTTGACACATAGAAAACTAATTGTTGAGCCAACTGAAGAACCCAGTTTTTACTACAAGTTTCTTAAACTTTGCTTAATCAGGAACCAAATTTTTTCAAGTTGAATCACCTGATTTACGAATGTTACATTAATCATCACCTACTGAGGAACAGTTTTTGATATTTTGCCAAAAAATGTTTGTTTTTGTTAAACTTAACAAAACAACACTTTTTAACCATTTATTCTTTTCGGAAAAAAAAAAAAAACTTATCCCTCGTAGGCACAAGAAAGAAATAGAAACTAAACATATCTATTTTTTTAATATTTACTA